ATATATATATATATATAGTCGTGATAATGATATGATAATCAAATGCAAAATATTTTGATCTAATGGTATTTTTTTTAATATTTTCCTAAAACAAACAATAGGAATAAACGTGAATAAAAAATCTGATATACCTGTATATAATCGTGATAAGGATATGATCAAATGTTGAAATATTTCGATAGGATGATGATATTTTGAAATATAAATCTAAAAGAAGTAATAAGCAAACAGCTTCAATAAATTAGATGGGTGCCAAAAATTTATTCGCTCTTCGCAATTCATGAAAAGAAAAACAAATAACATTCTCCATTATGGACACTTATCCGTTAAACAATGCATAATATCGTATCGAACAAAGGAAAGAAAGAGAAAACGATGAGAAAAAGGTTCTGTCTAATATATTCTGAACCATATTTAAGAAAATGGTTCTGTCGAATTATTCTAAACCATATTTGAGAAAGATAGTTCCACTTCGAAGTTTTTGAATCAAATCTTAACGCGAAACCTCCATATAGATCAGCTTTTAAATGTTTTTCGGACCTCTTCTCTTGAGTGAACCCTTGAGTGAACCAACGAGACGTTCTGCGAAATATGACGATGTTTTTCAGCACTATTAAACAAGATCTTTTCGCGTTTAGTATTATAGAAAACAACCTTTGGAAGTTCCTCATTCTTGAACAAAACCTTTTTCTGATTTTTTGTCGTCGAATGATAAACTTCGTATGTTTCAGTCGTAATCGTTAGAATCCTTTCGGTTCAAGATAATTTCGCTCAGAACTTCTTAAGATTCAGAAATCAATAGACAGAATCATCTATAGTTCAGCATTGGGAGGCAGAACCTATCATGGTTCAGTAACTGAGGACAGAACCGTATAGGTTCATGTAACATAACAGAGAACTCTCTGTGGTTCAGGATTTAACAGACAGAACCTATCATGGTTCAGTAACTGAGGACAGAACCATATAGGTTCATGTGACATAACAGAGAACTCTCTGTAGTTCAGGATTTAACAGACAGAACCCTTTACCGTTTCAGCCCGCTGGACAGAACCTTTTTTGTTTCGTATAATCGAATCTATAACTTTCAATGGTTCAACATCTGTTGACAGAACCCTTCGACGTTCTGCATGCATACCGCGGAATCTACTGGATTCAACATGGTTCCACAAAAAACCCTCCATGGTTTAGTATTTTATGACAGAATCCTTTGTGGTTCTGAGCTAGTAGGCAGAACCTTTTATAGTTCAGCATGATTCCACAAAACCCTTCACGGTTTTCCAACTGCCACACAGAACTAAAAATGGTTCAGCAAGTGCTGCAGAACCAAAAATAGTTCTGCAAAGCTCCTTTATTTTTTTCAGAGTACCCATATCTCACACCCACACCCCACACTCACACTCACATCCACACCCACGCCTGACACCCATCCACACCCACACCCACAACCACACCCACAACCACACCTTACACCCACACTCTATCCCCGGTCTTCTTTCCAAGTCACTAGGTGACTACATATCCAACATTCATCTAAAAAATGATTATTTACGTTATCAGGATAATAGCGATCAAAATAGGTTTTATTACTGCACGCTGACTTGTTCTCTCTCCTAAATAAACGTCAGAGGCAATACAAGAAATTGATGAACATTTCGCCGATTTGAAGCAGAGTGATTTCAAGTGAGCACAAAATATATAAGGAGGTTATGGTGTATGTGTGACGCGACAGAACAGAGAAGGTGATGCAACAGAACAGAAAAGAAGATACAACGTGTGTCAGTGTATCGATGATGGACACATTCTAACAACAATCTAGCTCTTCCAGATGAACACATATTTCTTCGTCTGAAAACCATTAAAATTCGAAGCACATGCATTCGTATACGAGCCCACATCTGGGAACCACAGTACATCGCCAATGTCCAATAGCGGCAAATCAATCGAATGAGCAATGCAATCAATTGAGTCGCACGTCGGTCCGAAAATGACCGACTTGAATTCATCAGGTTTCTCTTCCTCATTTTCCATCTGAAGATAGTGCACGATGAATACTTTATGGTCAAACACGATGGCGTTGAACGTTCCGTAGATGCCATCATTGATGTAGTAGATGTTGTCCGCACGTTCGATGAGTGCCTTCTCGGATGTTGTATTTTCGTTGTCACTCTCGATGTTTACAGGTGATGAGAGTTGACTGGAGAAAGCGCGTTCGAGTTTGATTATTTCTTTGCGAGATGCATAGTCGCGGTTGTGAATGCGACGAGCGATGATACGAACCACAAGCGTCATACTTCCAGACGAAAAATAACGACCGGGCTCTGACATCAGGGTGATACCTACCGAAATAATGAAGATTTGAGATATGTTATTAGCACAAAAAAAGAGAAAAATTTTCAAAAGTTAGAGTTCCAATGAATCTCAGAAAAGTATGAGAGAATCGAATTTTTCTAGGCCCGTGGTTCTGTTTTTTCATTCTTTAAGTGATGAGGTCAAAGTGGATTGAATGCAGAACTTATTTCATATATGATAATAGGCCATCCTACTTCACATTTCATTCCGAATTATGACTTTTGGAGTACTTTTTCGACTTTTAATGGATGATACTCACAAAACCTCTTGTGTAAGTTTTCGAGTTAGAACTGTTGTCATGATTAGCTATGATGAACATTAAGAAATTGTGAAAGTCTCAAACAAAACGGATGGATTTTGTTGGAAAACTTCCACGGTTTTATGATATTCATCAGAGCCAATCACACACATTGGATTTTGCTGGTATCACCCGCTAAAAGTTGAAAAGTACTTGAAAAATTATAATTCGAAATGATAGGTCCACTTAACATGATCCTACAGATTTTTTCATACCTCATCAAAGTTTACTTGTGAAGAAATATGAACACGATAAACAATTAACACCGGAGAATGTTTCTCCGTTGTTAGTTACATTTCTGAAGCCATTTAGACATGATCTGATTACTAGACCAGTTCAATGTTATCAAATTGGAATAGTGTCCGTCAATAAATCTCTAATATACCTACCTTCCGACTCGGGAAATAGCTTGTCCAGTCTTTTGTTGATCACCTCTGCTACTTTGGGAAAGCTTGGCTTGTCCCAATTGTGACCCGAAAAGCCACCACCGATATCCAATATCTTGAATTCGAATCCAAATTCATCTCGTCGAGCAATATCGAAAATGCGACGAGCCAATCGGAGCGACTGTGTGTAGATTTGAGCGTCGAGACATCGACTACCAACATGAAATGAGCAGCCGACGAGTTGAACACCTAGTTCACGAGCCAATCGAAGTAAAGTAATACATTCGAGTTCATTCGCCCCGAATTTGGTCGAGAAAGGACTAAGTGAATTCTTGTCGTCGGGCTTGAGGCGAAGAAGAACCTTTTCCATGAAAACATAGTCATTGTAGAAAGAAAACTTGGAATTCACGAAATTACAAACAGACAGATGCAGACGAATCACTATTTCTAGGACTCACCCTTTCAGTCTAAAAAATATTAGTCAGTGTAACTGACATCTATACCAACAACAAGTGAATGACATTTTCTTTTTTTAATTACCTGGAGACAAAGAAAATCGATGAGACACAATATTCTTTTGGCACATATAGTGTTCAGAGTTACTAACTAATGTTTTGGTGAAAAAGTTGGTGAAATTATTGCATCATAAACATGAGTTTTTGGATCCTAATTTATAATGACTTTTGATGGATCAATGGAAAATGATTTGAGAATTAAATTATGAGCCACTGATGACTCACATCGCCCTATCATATATGACATGGCGAAAGCCATCTCGGACACATATGTACTCATGACTGAGACGAAAAAATATTGCCTGCTTTATTCAAATATGTTTTTTGTGCCGAATAATGGGGAAAAAGTTAAAGAAAGACAACTTTTCCTTAACCCTTTATCTCCACAGCGGTTCTAGAAGAGCCACTGATAAAATAACCTTATAAATAGAGTATTAGCCTCTCTAATATGCCAATGGTGTGATCTGATCCACCGAGTGTCATGTTCTTTGTGCAGGGTGGTTTGGTTACTCCAGTGACCATGTGCTAGAGAAAGAGGATTGAGCGACATAAGAAGTCCTGATTTTTTTCTTTCATCATATTATTGAGTGGACAAAAGCAGCATCTATCGCATGGTATTGGAGCAATAGAAAAAAGGAAGGAGTGAATAGATAAAAACTAATGTCGAAAACAATACATCTATTTTTGACACATATTGTAAAATAAACGTCTATTTTTCTTTGAGCCATTTTATAACCACTGAAGACATTTAATTCATAATAAATATTATTTCAACTTCTCATATGACGAGGTTTATAATATATATATTAAGTTTGTTCTTGATTGCTCTCCATCTTTCTAATAGTGGCTACATGGTCCATTTTGTGCCTTACTATCTCTTATTTGTCAAGCTATTGTGAAACTTTCGAAACACGGTCGACTCACAAGTAGACATTTTCGTCGATAAAAATTACACAACACGCCCCAGAAATCTCTATTGCCTGCAGGTAGAGAAAAATTTATTTTAAAACATTCAATTTTTTCAAAACTATCGATTTTCTAAGGTTCATATTTTAAAGACGAAACGATGAAAAGAAATATTCTTTTTGCCCATCGATAGCTCATGAAGTTTACTACAAAAAATGTTTTTAAAGTTTTTGAATTTCATGCTTCCTTAAGTTTTTGTAATCGATCTACAAATGTCCACGCCTGTGGACATTCGGGGGGAGGAGGGGGTAAAGGGTTAAGCTGCAAGAAAAAAGAGTTTAGAAATGGTGGTTTGTCCAAAAAGGTCAATCTCTTTGCCTCAAATGACTATAATCATGTCTTTGTGAGTCATTTCTTTGGTCCAACTGATCCTAGAGCGAGTTTAGCCTTATCTGAAATAACCAAAAATCTATCAAAGTGGAAATAATTCTTGATCAAAGGACCACAAATTAGCTCTTATAATTGCAGTATGGCCACAATCTTGCCGAAAGTAACCGACATAAGAAAATCCATCCCATCTTTCTTTCAGTCTAGGATCAAATCAGTCGGCATCCGATGAATGCTATTTATGACATCTCGGATCCTTATAGAGTAGCCGCCGCAGTCCGAGTCGCATTCACCGATTCTAATAGCTTTTCTCATTTATGTTAACATCTTATTCGATACACTTCGACTCACTGAGCACGAATCTAATATTGGATTGAATGAAAATAATTGAAATCTTAGTATATGACTATTTCATGACTGAATAAATGCTAGTACATAAAGATAGAAAAAAATCCCGGTGAAAAGTATTGTAAATACTACTTCTTTCTTCAATAATGTCCACTTAATAATTGAAGTAGAACAAGATAGGACGAATATGAAAAAATATTTTAGCGCATCTTCTTTGAGTTAAATGTAACTCCAAGAGCCTAAAAATCGACTTACTTTTGCTTCGGGCCAGTGTTGCTTCAACTTCTTGAGCTCATCCTCATTATCCACTACTGTCATTTGCACGCCCGCCTCGCGAAAATGTCGAATATGTGATACTGGCTTGCATGGATGGGCAAAGATAACACGCGTTGCACAATCAAAATCAGCACCACATGTTTTGCGCACGAGATCAAGTTCTTCGGCCGAAGCACAATCGAAGCCGCCACCAAATTCGGCAATGACTCGAACGATGAAGCCGCTGGGGTTGCACTTGACAGCGTAGAAGGGACGAATACGACCCAGAAAGTGCATCCATTGAAGGTACTGACGAGCATAGTGAGACAGATTGACGATGTAGAAGGGAGCATCGTCATCCGGCTGAAGTTCTTTGCAGAATTGTCTGTACAAGTAGATTATTATATGGTAAAAAAGAATCAGTGATTTTATCGAAAATATCAAAACAGTTTTGTGAAACTCGTTCATAATTTTCTGAATCTGAGAGTTAAGGTATATACTCATACCTATCCCCATATAGCCGTTCCGTCCTAACCAAGGCAGGAAAACAATAAATACCACTCCACGTGAGAGAAAAAAAGCGTGTCGGACGCTGATATACTTTCAAATTGAAGTATCAGAAACTTCGACTGAAAAGATTAAAAAGACATCTAATTGTTTATTTATGTAATAAAGAACGCGTCCATAAAAAATATTCGAAGTTAATAGGATACAACTAATCAATTATTCATTGCATATCGATTTATATTCCTATCATGTCAGATGCTCGTATGCTCTATTGACTCAAATAGCCAACATTAATGGCTTTTTAGCCATGCTGTTCACTCAATTCAGCCATAATTCCTGCCTTTTCGTCGCTTGTTTTTGCCTTAAACGACTATAATTTACATCTAATTGTCCCATCTTCTGCTCTAATAACTTCATTTTGTTGACCAAGTTAGTTCATACGTGAATTTCAAAATTCGTTTATTGTTCTAAATCAACACGGTCCATTTAGTAAACATGCAGTCTCAGTCTATAGTAAAGCACAAATGAATATTGATTGTTAACAATTTCCTATATTTTCTTTTTAACTAAGACCATTTTTATTTTTAGTCAAATCTAATTATTCTGCTGGCTCTCTTTCGGAAAACGAATAAATTCCTGAATTTGACTATTCTTCTTTCACGTCATTTTCATTTAACTTCAACTGAGATAATAGTATTGAGGTAGACGTTTTTCATGTGGTGACCTATCTTTCCAAAAACTGTCCATGAATCTTATAGCTCAAGATCATCTTCAAATGAAACTTTATACTGGTGTCTCCGTTGCAAAACTCAAGATAGGAGAAAAAACCCGACAATACAGTTTCAAAATAAATGGATAAAATGGTTTTCGATATTTTGAAAGCTATTTCAATGAGACACTTCTCTAATCAGTGTTGGAAAATTAAATGTTTAATTAACATTACCGAAGACACTATCATTTTTTGATCCAAAATCTAGAGCCTGAGATATCTACGAGTGAGTCATCGATTGAAGCTTTCATGAGTATTTCAGTCGACATGAAAGCACTGATTCTGTTAGGTTTTGACAATAAATAAACGGTTTTGTCCCTCTCCCTCACCTGACAATGGACGCCATCGTTTGCCCATAATCGACATGTCTCGCTCCCAGCTCACTTTCAAACAGCTCCTTGAGATGGTGCACCGAGAATTTTCGTCTGTGCTCAAGCACTTTCGTCGCCTGTTCATCTTGATCGTGACCTTGAACACTTATAAGTCCATCGGCATTCTCCACACTAATCTGATGAATCAAATTGGTTCGTGATGGCTGTTTCTCATCGCCATCTCGATCATTGTCGTCGGCTTTGCGAGACTCACTACTGCTCGTCTCAGGCTTGGAAGTTTCCTTTCGGTTAGAATGATGATGAGACATCTTTCTCTTCTCTTCAATGTGTATATGAAGAAAAAGGTAAATGGTTAGAATGAGAAGCAACTGACATCAATTATATACCGTTGTGAGCCATTGTTGGGATGCATTTTATGACTCGCCATATACGCAATAGATAATAAAAGGCAATCAAATGGCATCTATTTACAATCATATATAGAGAGAATCAATATTGGTGAAGTGCATGGCCTTATCCAGTCAGTTGTAAAACAGAAAATGGCCATTAAAACAATTGATTGCGCAGAAAAGTGCCGTTTACCACCGTTTAAACATGCTTTGCCGCCTCTCTAGCTTAGATACAGCGATGAAAAAAATCGTTTCAATGAATTGTGCCCACCAGAATCCAAAGATGATGTCGTTCAAATGGAGAGCGCCATGAAACGCTCTATTTGAACGTCGGAAACGTCTGTGTTCAGTGATCTGTATGGACAAAACATCTCGCTATGCCCACTTTCAGCCATGTTTCAAAGCATTAATGCTGTCACGCGTTGAAACTTTTCACTTCGGACATGTTTCTCGCTGTTTGGTTCAAGGTCTGCTTTCGTCATGACCGTTTAAACGGCGAAAGGCCTCAAATGATAGCTTCTCAATGTAAAAACAAACGTGTGCGTCAACTTTTCCGCTAAGCCAAACGCGTTTTAAACGTTGTACGATCGAACTTTTTTCATTCACATCTTCGATCAAACGCATTGAAACTGTTTTGTCTGGAATGCTTTCACCTACTTTCCCCATAGTGATAATTTTTTTTATGGTTTTCACGATGTGATACGCCAAACGGCGGCTCTACATTCTCTCCGTCCCCAGACCACTTTTACGTTGCATGATGCAGAGATGGAACCGGTACCGGCGATCGGCCGGTCCGGTCCTGTAGAGGATTCTCTACCGGTCGGTCTCGGAGGATTTTTCTGTACCGGCCTGGTCTGGAGAATGTTTGAACTTCAGTACCTTTTTTGAATGGAAAGCCATACAAAGTAGCAGTTTTTTTGTACAATCAGAAAAATTTTTCAATTTAGGATCAAAGATCTTGGAATTTTAGTCAAACATGGAACCGCTCCTGACTAATTAACTAATTAGATACTGGAAAGATTGTGTACCTGTCAGTTTTTATGCCCGAGCTTGCTAGGAATTTCAAAAACAAAACGATGTGTGTTAATTTACAACCTATGACTCCTTTGAAACTTCAGTCAATTAGAAGAGCATATTGTATTGCGGATTTATAACAGCCCTTCGTAGGCACATTTTTTTTTCGTCTTAGAAAAATGCCTTACTCAATTCAGTGGAAAAATACCTCCAGGATCTTTCCAAACCTATCATAAAATTTGTGCTGAATAAAGTTCGCTGTGTCGTAAATGATCCAACAGTAACTTGGAGTATGACAATTTAATATAAGAAACGAATTCATTTACCTGGACATGTGTTTTAGATGGTGTTTATTGATTTAATACAGCTCAATAAGGAAACGTTTTCAAGACTTAGACAAAGCTTTTTTCTCGATAAAACACTAATCTCATTTTCAAAAGCAGGAAAAATTTTGAGCTGTGATTATTCTTCATAAAGAAATGTTGACGTACAAAATTCGGCTACAAAAGAATTTGATAACAATGGTGGTCTCTTGAACAGTGATGCACTCAATCAACTGCTTTATATGTAATTAAGTCTTATAAGAATATTTTCTCATCGCAGAGCTGGGCAACTCAATTCAAAAAACGACTAACTCAATTCGATTCAATTCAATTCATGAACCTAGTTGAATTGAGTTGGAAAAAAATTTTCAGAGTCTACCAGTTGAATTGAATTGAGTTGAACCATTTTTCAAAGATCTACTAATTGCTTTGAATTGAATTGTGTTGGAAAAAAGATTTTGAGATCACTGAATTGAATTGAATTGAAAAAATTTTTGGAGCCTATTGAATTGAGTTGAATTGAATTGAAAACAAAATTCCGAGATCAGTGAATCGAATTGAGTTGAATTGAAAAAATTTTCTGAGATCAGTGAATTGAATTGAAAAAATTTTCTGAGATCAGTGAATTGAATTGAAAAAGCTTCGAGATCATTGAATTGAGTTGAGTTGAGCTGAATTGAAGCGTTTTTCTCGAGATTTGCGAATTCATTTCAATTCAATTCAACTCAAAGATATTTCTGAAACTGCAGTTGTAAAATCAATTTACGCAATAAAACTAATGAAAAATCAAACTATGATTATGATCTTTTTTATAATGTATCTTTAGAGCTTCTATCTCAGAATAGCTACATCACACTCGCATTTCGATGTATATTTCTGATGCGCTTGCGTCAACTTATCGCTATTTTCTTTTCTTTTTCGATGATTACATATTATTTACGCACCTATGCTCTCAACGCACCAATGTATTTTCCTATTCTTTCAGCTGATGGATACACTGTTCATTTATCCTTATCTTATAGGGCAATATCATGCAAATCATTTGTTGGGTTGACTAATATGTTATCTATTGTGAACGCATACCTCTTATACTGTATTCCTTTTTTGTTCATTATTATTTGATTCAGTTATGACCTTCTCTTGTAGTCTGCTAATATTGTTTAATAAATACTCCAAATCATTCTATAGTAGATAACCCTGGTTTTATTCAGACGTAAAGAAAACAAATTTTTTTTATGTGATCAACAACAATAAAAACTCTTTCTAACACGTTCAATCAAGGAAACAAGAACAAATGTATTGACTAGATTTTTCTAATGCGTCTGAGTTGAGTTCAATTCAATTCAATTCAGTAATAGAATTGGGTTGAAAAAAGTCCGTGATCGATTAATTAAATCGAATCGAATTCGGAAAAATTTTTCGAAATCATTGAATTGAGTGGAATTGAGTTGGAAACAATTTTTAAGATACATGAATTGAGTTGAATTGAATTGAAATATTTTTTCAAGATGTATGAATTGAATTGAATTGAATTGAAATATTTTTTTCAAGATGCATGAATTAAAATTGAGTTGAGTTGAGAAAAAAATTATAGTATCTGTGAATTGAATTGAATTGAGTTGCCCAGCTTTGTCTCATCGATAAATGCACAAAATATTCAACAAGAATTAAATCGATTCAATCAGCTGATCTGAGCAGTCGTTTGACATCATCAACTGGAAATTACGAACGTGTACATATGATACTTGAAGGGTGTGGGGTGTGGGTGGCTGTGTGTATGGGCGGGTGTGAGTGTGGATGAAGGCATGGCCATATCCCACACCCACTCACATTCACACTCCACATCCACACCCACACCCTAGTGATTTCTAAAGCTTTTTGATTTTTTTAGTATTTATGTTTATGTTAATATAGAAGTTTTTTTTAGTATGAACAATATTTTGCTTCCATTCTCTTATCACCACGCTAGCCTTGAATTGGACAACTCATAAGAAAAAGCTAATAGGAAAGAGCAGCTAATAAAAACAAAGTTTTCTGTATAAAAAAGTGTGTCTTGAGATCACTTTAATGCTCCTTTGTAGTGTATTGTGAAGAAACTTGCTAGATTTCTTTTGAGAAAATATTTGTTCCAACGATTATAGTACCTGATTAACGCGGTGCCCATTCAAATGTGTCACACATGAAGAGATCTTTCTGAAATAAGAACATCTTCAGTAAAAACCCGCTGTACATTAGTTAATATTTCGCTTCGTCTGTGCACTTTCTTCTAGAAATTCTAACATGTTCTTATCATGGAAGATCTCATTCATAATTGGAAAAAAAAATATCTCTCTGGATTTGCAATGAGTCATTTTTTATGAAATCTTCCTCCTATCTATGAAGACATATGTCTCTTGGCATAAAGATGCCTAGCTACTTTTCGAAACAGATACAAAAGATTCTAAAATCACTCTCAACGTTTCCTCGTAGACAACCATATTCATTCAAATTTACTAGAAACTAATAACTAAACTGGTGACATATTTCATTTTAAATCAATTCTATGTATACGAGCCAATCCTAAACATAACCAACTAACTTAAATAACTTTGACTGAAAATGGTTTCATTTTCTTACTTTAAGTTATTTATACCATCGGGTGAAAGTCTTTCTCTCTCTCTCTTTATTCTTATGTTATCATACTTTGCATCATATTTGTGACCAAATAAAGATATAAGATAAGAATTTTATTTCAGTGTGATGTATATCATATTGAAATAAAACTCTTATGTTATATCTTTACTCGGCAATAAAATTGACGCCTTGTGATAATATCGAAATAAAGAGTGGGAAAGACTTTCGTCAAAGAGTGTAATTATATAGAACATAAGTGTCAGCAGGGAGAGACCGTATTCTTTAGAAAAAAATAGTCCTATTATAAATCGCACAAAAATTTTAAGATATGTTGTCTATATTGTTTCAACAACACCCTTCTAAACAATGATTGTTCTCTCTTTTTTGCGTTAAAATATTATTCACTTCTTTTCCATTGATAATCCTGGGATAAATAAAATGAACTCGTTTACGAATATTGTATTGGACAAAAAATGTTGAAATTAGGATTTTTCCTTGAGATCACCAAAAAATTTGACTTTTTTTTGGGACATAACAGAAGATCTCCCTTATGATTTGTGAATGATAAGACAGAATAGAAGACCAGAGGTGTTCTAATGTATCGAGGGCTTTAAGCTAATTTGCATTATACTCATCTTTTTAATATGATGTCATAATATCATTATTTTTACAAAACTGTTCAAATTTATTTGTCGTAAGTAAAAACGGTGCTTTACCTTGTCGGGAGAGATATTGAAGAATGTCAAGTGTCTCATTATATATCATTAAACTTGGGTGTGGGTATAGATATGAATCTTCTCATCACACCCACACCCTGTTTCTTTTTCATCCTTTTGTTTCTTCAGCTTCTATTAATTACAGTTCTACCATCATCATGTGTTACACTCTGCTCATTGTTTTCCGAAATATACTTCAGCAAATAAAAAATGAATTTATTTTTGCATAAAAACAAGCTTATAGAAATGTTCGACAAACTAATTTTTAACATTATCTAATCCAATGAAGTTCCAGAAGAAAATTTGCGTAATAAAACGTGCCCAATTGGAATAAGATAGATATAAATAATCATCGGAAAAAGTATGATTTTAGTCACTCTTCTAGTCATTGATGGAAAGTAATAAAAAGCGATAGTCTGTATCTTGGCTAAAATGACCAAAAGAGGGAAGAAGAGAAGCATATATAAAAGAAAATCATGTTTAATGTGCATAGATAAAATGATGCGTAGGACTATTTGAGTTGCCAATAACACTGCTATGTTCTGCAGAACGAAGAAAGCGATGAAAAACTCCCAACCACTAGGGTAGTGATCGGTAGAGGTGATATACATTAATCGATGCCAGTAATATCCTCTTCGGGGAGAACAATAAGTTAGCCAACATTTTCGACATGTCTAAATAATATATTAAATGAAGAGTATTTCAGATAAATACAATAATAAAAGATGAACTAACCTGTTTTCCAATCCATATATGAACGTTGTAAGACGAATTTGTACGAGTCAAACGATAAACTCGACATCTAAAATTGTCTTTGCTTAGTCGTCGTGTGCCAAATATTGACAAATCTGGGTCGAAATACCAACGTCGTTCGTCTTCATTATATGGTGATTTAACGGTGAATGATGCACTTGATAAATATTTGAAACCATCGATCAATCGAATTATCTGTTTCCTCGAATTCAAAGATGACATTTGTAAATGTTCAACATATGGAAAAAGACGTAATAATTCTTCAATAAAATAATTCATATTTTTTATTGAACTTATATTTATTTGAAGTGTTCGAATCGATAACGTCGTATTTGTTCAATAGAATCAAACAAAGGACTTCCAGTAATACATAGTGTGTGAAGACAGATCATATCGAGTAAATAGAAATTCAAAGATTTTATTTCATTGAACGACGATATAGTTAAACATTCTATACGCCTAAGATTGACCATATTCGAAACATTCCCTAAAATATCTTCATTTGTTGTCGATGATAGATTAAGTTTAGTGACATGTTTATAGAAGATCTTATCATCACATGTTTTCCAAATAGAAAGTGATGAAAAATTAGAAGAATTAATTTCGACTGGAGCAAAATGAGGTATTGAAAAAAGCAGTTGATCCTTGTAAGCCACATACCAATGTTTTTCATAAAGCCAAAATTCAGTGCAAAACGAATTGAGAGTTACCTCATCAAGCTGAGAATGGATTTCGAACTTGAAATTGAATGTCGTGAGAGCTTCACTCAATATTTTCCATTGATGACCATTAGCAAGATCACGATCACCTTTAGCACACAATTCAAAGTATATCAATTTGGTTAGTTTTGATAAAACTTGCTCGATTTGAGTTAGTAATATTGATGAATCTAAATTAAAAGTCAAAATAAAAATAATCCTATTTTTGTTGTTTAATTTAATTTTCTACAATTACCATCAATTTTTAGAGTTAGTCGCCTCAATTGAGAATTTAGAGATAGAGAATGAATATGTGATGCATCGCCTTGCAGTGAAACATCAAGGGATATTATATGTGGCGCTTGATAGAAAATCATATTTAATTGGTCTACGGTCGATTTTCCCAATTTCAACTGACAAAGACGTGGAAGTTGTATCGCGGACGGTATATTGAAAATGGAAATATTTAATCGATTTAATCGAGGTAATACTCTAATAGAAAATTCTGAGAAGCACGATTTGACATCTATCATCATGCCTTTATAGTCATAACTCCAAATGGGACATTTGGTTTTAATCTGTTTTGTGTCGTAGGTAAGTGAATGAAGTAGTGCGAGATGATTCAAATTCGAGAAGATCGATTCAAATGAATCAAGTTCGATCTCAATTAATCTAAGTGATTGAAGATGAATAAATTGTTCGATTCGAAAGTGTGTCAAAAATAAATCAGATTGACCGGGTGTATCTTTACCATCGGAGAGTGTCAGGGATATAACTTGTGAAGGTCGAATATAACGACATACGAGATCAAAGTCTGATTTGCAAATTGAATGGAAATTAAGAACATAAGACGAATAGGTAAGTAAAATAGCATCAATATAATCACTAACGTTCGTGAATGAATAAATAATTTCATGAGCCAAAAAATAACTAAAAATTGTATGAATTAGTTCGATAGGTAATAAATCAAACGCACAGATACGTTGTGACATGGCCAAATACTTAATTAGATACAAGATTCACTTCAACTGATTTATTGGAAAAACACATTTAATAATGATTCATAAACTGCTGACTTCCGATGTGATGCAATTCTCCACGAGTTACCTACAGTAACGATGACACATTTTTTTCTTCTGTCAACGTCAACAATTTGTGCACGAAAAGAAAAAGAAAGAAAAAGACGAAATTACTCAAAAGAAAATCGTAATGCGCACATAAAATGCAACAGTAAATATTTTATTAATCATCACTTTTAACGGTACACAGACGGAAGTATATTCTCCATTCCGAGTTGCCATTTCCGATTTTTTAAATGGACTTCGAAAAAATCGAAATGAGGTACAGTTAGAACACATTCCTATTTAAAAAGGAGCACATCAATGGGATACATCATTTTTCTCTTGAAACAGAATATTTAATTGGAAGAACTGCGAAAATAGAACTTTTTTTTGCAGAGAACAAGATCATATTTCACTATATTTCTGATTAGATAAGCGTTGTTGTTAACTTTGTTTCAACTAGCTTTATGCTAGTTAACTATTGCGTTCGAAATTGAATACAACACGAAAGACCATCTATAAAGGACATAAAATCGAGAAAACAGATCGGATAGATGGGATGGTGGGTGTGGGTGCGCATTGTATGGATATCGATACTAAACCAAAAGTCACACCCACACCCTTGTGTTGTATGAATTTGGATGTTTTAAAGTTAGAAGAGTTTCTTTTATTTCTCTTCCTTTCTTAGTGTTGTCACGTGCAAGAATTTCAGATCTATCAAAATTTATCGTGTGCTCTTTATTATGAAGGACGTGATCAGCTGCAGTACTCCTCTTTCCTTCTTCTCTCAGTCCATTTTTGTGTTGATTCATTCGGTCATTTAATTTCGTCGATCGGTGTAATTACGATACGACATATAGATGTCATACATTTCTTATGGTTGAAATTTTTCATTCTAGATTAATTCACCGTTCTGTTTCGTTTTTTCTTGATTCGATATATAAGAGGAAACGATAGACTCAATATTGTCTGGCAGAGTGGGCAACACTCTGTGGACATATAATAAAATTGGAACGATACAGAGAAGATTAGCATGGCCCCTGCGCAAGGATGACACGCAAAATCGTGAAGCGTTCCATATTTTTTGTGTCTTTTTTCAACTTCTACTAAATCATTCAACACAACCAAAAAAATTTGTTTTATTCTGGCATATATAATAACACTCGGACAAGTTATATGATAGAAAAAGAAATATAATATTTGACGTTAGCAATGTACTTTTAGTCGAAGTTAACACTAGTAATATTTACTGCAAAGAATAAAGCTTTCATTAGATCGATGTTCTGAAAATAATTGCAACGATGTGGAAGAACCGTTTATAGAATTAGTTGAATTTACTATTCAGATTACCTTTTAAATTCATCAACTATCAACACTTGTATATGATGCTTGTATAAATGTAGAAGACCTTATTCTCAGAAAAAAATCTAAGAAGATTTGGGTTAATGCAACTTCTTTCAATAGGTATTAATATTTTTATTTCTTTATAAAATATATCATTGTTCGTTTTTTCGTTTTTCAATGATTTATTCTTCTGGTTTCCGTTTTACAGTCAGACAAGTCTCTTGAAAAAACGCGTTAAAATTTCGTAAAAACGGCATATTTATGATAGGTTATCGTTAAAACGCCGTTTTAACGAAATTTTAACGCGTTTTAATGTGTTACAACATTCAAGCGTTAAAATATGTCGATTTTTTTTCCAGATTTACACATTCTTATGCGTTAATAACTCGAAATTCACGCATTTTTACGCGTACTTTTTTTAACGGGTTTTATTATGTGCAACAGTTACTAGTTATTTCTGTTTTTTTTCTGAGTCAAGTAAACTTATTGAAACCACTTAATCCGTTCCTTGAGAATATTAAAAAGACAGAATCTTTTGTAAGATAAGTTATGCTTATTTAAACGCATCGGATGTTTTTAGACTTGTTATGCAAGTTAAAAGTGATTGTTTTGAAGAACCATAAAAAAGAATGAAGGATACTTCTGAAACAGATCAGGATTATTTGGCTCTCGTACAGCTGTCAGAATATCTAGGTTCTCATCATGCATTGCATCACTTGTTTGTAAATTACTTTGCATGAAAGTGAAATTCGATGCTAATATACGCATGGTGTCAGATAGTTCTTCACTTTAATTTCCTTATATGCAAATAATACTTACTATAATAAATAATCTAGAAGTTAAATGATATTAAATAAAATAGTTGAACAAATATTTATGATAGAAAAATGAAAAGAAAAAGAAGCATTGATGAAAAACAGTAACAAACAGTAGGGTGTGGGTGTGGATGTGGGTGTGCGTCTGGGTGTGAGGGTGTGGGTGTGAGTACGGATCTTCTCTTCAACAGAACCCACACCCACACCCACATCCACACCCACCCACACCCTTTTGATAAAAACTGCTTATAGTTTTCATTATGTTCGAAAAAAAATTTCAAATATTTTTTTGAACCAAATTGAAATAAATAAATTCTAAATATATTTTTTCAATCGAATTAAAATTTAAAAAAATCCAAATATAGTTTTTAATTCAAATTGAAATTAAAAGAATTTGGAATGTTTTTTTTAAATCAAATTAAAATAAAAAAAATTCGAAATATATTTTTTAAATCGTATTTAAATTTTCAAAAATGATAGAATTTCACCAACTAAAATAAATATGTAAAATAATATTGCATTTTCAGAATTTTGTTGAAATAATTTCTATCTACATAAAATTCAAATAGAAGTTTACATTAAAGTCAGAAATGAAGATATTGAACGTTGAAGTGATATAGAATGACATGGCACATCCAGCTGGGTAAGCTGATCGGTATGTAAACTGAAGGTCTAGAGATCAATACTCTATGTGTTCATTTCATTTATATTCTATTTAGAAAATCCCGCAAAGATTCTGCCAAGAAACTGACAACATCCTGAAGGAAACCTAGTTCAATCCTACAAAGATCCTGTCCAGAAATTCGATTATATGAAACCTAGTCAAAGCCCGAAAGATGCGATCAGAAATCATTTTTTTTCCAATTTTGAGTTATTGAAATCCTGAAAGGATCCTACAATTCCGTGGCTACACATTTCTTTCAGTAATCATCGATTTGCTGGCTCAATCTTGATTCGAAAAACAATGATAAACTTGTCAGGATCCTTGATAATCTTGTTTTGAATCCTGACAGGATCCTTAAAAACCGTGGCTACACACTTCTTTCAGGAATCACTGATTTTCTGGCTCAATCCTGATTCAAAAACAGTGGTAAACTTGTCAGGATCCTTGGGAAGCTTGATAGGAATCCTGCCAGGATCCTAAAATTCCCTGGCTACACACTTCTTTCAGGATTTAGTCATTTCCTCAGGAAAAAACAGCGAATCCTTACAGGATCCTGAGTATATCTGTCAAGGATCTGGCGCTGAAACATCAAGGATTTTCCCTAGGGTAGTTTTGAAGACGACTCTAATCGTCTTTGTAAACAATATGCTTTCTGAACTATAATATAATGGACAGATAGTCTAGCTTCTCCTCTATCGATCTATACAAGACCGAGTTCACTAACTGTTTGCGCTCCAAAAATATGAAGATTATACTGAAGGCTATTTCTCAAATTTCTTCAAAATCTGTGAGGTTAACAAATGCTTCCTTCTAAAAGTTCTTAGTTGCCTTCAACTTTATAACATAATTTATTCACCTTTAGAGTTTTTGTCTACTAAGAACATCATTACAAAACATACATTGAATCTATTTTGATGATAATAAATCAATATTTTCAGTCAGTTTAATTTGATGATGTAAATTCATCATAAAGTCATTAATTATCAGCATTATCTGTATTACAGATGCTATAATTATCGTCATGATCATTTAATTCTTCTTCAATCTCTTCAACATCAATATAGGGCTTTTTAATTATTGTCTAATGTCATTTGACATGTCTGATGCAACTGGTTGCGTCTATCGCATATAAGCCATACATCTATTCTTGTGTTAATTTATTCACTGCAGCAAATGTGCCCTAGGCTACTTAGGTCAAATGAATCTTTTTCAATAATGTTCTGATAAGAATTAAAAATAATGAGAATTTATCTTCCATGTTAATGCGATTTTAAAGATTTCGTTAGATTATAGATCGATATATAGGCTGGCGCAATAATATGACAAAATCTGTCTTCAAGATTATCTTAATTAGAAGAGCGATTAGTTTCTGCGAGACCGGAGTAAAAGCACAAAATACTTAGGGCAATCAAAAAATAGTGTTGTCATTATCTTATTTCCCTATAGAAAGCTTGAAGAAAATTTCTTCCTTGATGTAATAATAGAGAAAACGATGCTCTGTTTTTCTGTGATATTTGATCAGTATTCAACTAATATTATAATAATAAAATTTCAATATGAACTGTTTTGATATGAAACTTCACTAACGGGTGAGACAGATTAAATGTTTCAACCTCTTAATGCATTGTATTAAAAAACAAAATATACCACAAGATGCAGCGCGAGAAGCTCTACAATTTACAAAAGACCACTTATTTCATAATTGCACTTTTTGTTTTCAAAATGAACAAAATTTTGAGGGATCAGTTTTTGACCATGTGGAAACGATTTTTTTGGTACTAGATAAATTCATTTTTTCTTATACAATCTAGAAAGTAAAGCTTACTTTAATTGTGTACTTCTTGTTGTCAAAAAAAAAAATACAAAATTCTGTGCGACCAATTTTCGCTGACCCAAAAAAGTAATGTTTTTCTTATTTCATATATAAAAGAAACTGTTCTTTTATAAATTGTAGAGCTTTTCACGCTGCATCTTGTGGTTTATTTTGTTTTTTAATATGACGTATTAAGTGATTGAAAATTGAAATGCAAAACATATTAATCTGTCTCATCCGTTAGTGAAGTTTCATACCAAAACAGTTCTTATTGAAATTTTATTATTATAATATTAGTTGAATACTGATCAAATATCACAGAAAACTAGAACATCGTGTTCTCTATCACTACATCAAGAAAGAAAATTTCTTCAAGCTTTCTGTAGGGAAATAAGATAATGATGAAACTAATTTTGGATTGCCATAAGTATTCAATTTTCTTTTTCTACATAAACATTAATTACTTTCGAGTTATAAAAAGCAGCATATAGGCGTCGACATACTTCTTCTTATAAAATACAAAGTCAAATAGGTCACATATTTAATAACACTCGTCTCCATACTTATTACAGACTGTTTCGATAAACGCAAGTAAGATATTCAGTACTTTCGTTGCAGACAAATATTACACTGGACATTGTTCTATTAATCAGTTGTTTCTTCATTCAGTGTTTGAAGAATTTTTCTTGATTTTCTTGAAAGGAGCAAAAATAGATTAACGCCGTATTTATTTCTCATTAATTTATTTCAATAAAATGTCTGCAAATAACGAAACAATCTTCATCAATACATCATCATTATTAGCATCAAGTTCAACCATTACCATTCTGAACTTCATATCAGATCGAATCATAAGTCAATTACCACTAGTATTTACCATTCTCGGTCTTATAGGATTCATTGGTGATGTCTTCACATTTCTTCAACCAGCTCTTCGTTCAAATCCTTGTGGTATTTACACTCTATGCGGCTCATTGATTGATATCATCAACCTTTTTGTCAATCTCTTTCCGAACTACTTTAATTCCGAGCAGAAGAATTTAGCCACGTGGATATCCGATAGTATTCATTGTAAATTGAAGCTCTTCGCTCTAGTTTTTATCCCTCAATTATCCATGGACTTATTGATCATGTCTCTTATTGATCGATTTATTTGCTCTTGTGGCCCGACATCATTCATGTGGCATCTTCACCAACTCAAAATGGTGCCGTGGATGATTCTTATCACGGCGATTATCAGTGGTCTTATATCTTTGTATTCACCGATTCTCTACGATGTTGTACCAGGCATCGGATGTATCTCAATGCAACCACTCATCAATAGTGTGTTGTACATTGGCATTCACGGTCTTATGACACCAGCGATTATGCTTATTCTTGTATTGCTAACCTATCGAAAAGTCAAGCAGAGTCGTCAACGAGTTGTGAGTATACTCAAGCTTCTTATTTGAAAGAAGAAAATAATTAGTTCGACTTTTAGGGTGTGGCTGCACAAAGGAACATTAATCGCTCACGAAATCAATTTATTACTATGATTTTTGTACAAGCTTTCGCAACATGCTTCTTTGCATTACAATGGATTTGTACCTATATCTACTTTATAATTACATTTTACGACGTTAAGAGTGCAGAGAGATTGGCCATCGATTCTTTTGTAATGTACCTCACTAACAATTTGTACTATCTTATCAATGTCAGGTCATTTTTCCTTTCTACTTTGACTTCTCGTCTATTTCGAAACACATTGAAGACAGCTTTACTTCAACTGTCGCCTGGTCAACAAAATCAACGATGGAATACAGAACAAATACGAATCTCAAAGACTGGCACAAAACGAACAGACAACGCGAAATAACACAATCTGCATTTTAAATATTTCTTTGGCTTATTTAGTTCAAAAATAGTTACAATTTATTTTATTCTTAAGTTCAAAGTAGATATCGTTTTCATATCTGTTTATTTGTCTATTCGTTGTATCAATTGTGCGTATGTGATTCATTAATAAATCAAATTTAAAAAAATATATAACGAACATGCTACGTAGTATCGCTGATGGGTGTGGTGTGGGTGTGGGTGTGGGTGTGGGTGGGTGTGGGTGTGTGGGTGTGGGTGTGGGTGTGAGTGTGGGTGTG